CATTTTACAACACAGAAAAAAGCAAAAGCTCGCAAATAATAAATAACAAGAGAAAGAAATACTGAATATGTTATGTTCCTGGTTAGGGAATATCCTGCACCACCTCTTGCTCTTCATACTCTGATTACTTGGATTTCTGCTTAAAATATATTTTTTTTTCTACACATGCAGATTCAAATCAATGAAATAGTGGGTACACACTAAACATTCTTTATCTGAAATGTTTGGGAACACAAGTGTTGTGCATTTAGGATCCCCCCCCCTAATTTTGGAATACTTGCTTATGCTTAATAAGTTACTTCAAAGATGGGAAACAAGGCTAAGCATACTCATTTGTTTATCCTTTCACCCACCCCTAGATATGTTGTCTGATGGTAACTGTATATCATATTTTAGTACAATTGTACATTTATTATGTTTACTGTCTAATTTTTGATAATGTGTTATTATTTTTGATGTAGATGTGGATTTGCTTTTGGGATTTGGGAAGTTGGTTATTTTTTGACTTTTTTCAGCTTCTTACAGCACTGAATGTTTGCCAATATCTGTTGCAAACTGCTGCATGTCCATTTGGGGAGATATAAATAAAGTTAATTTGTATTGTCGAAGGCTTTCATGGCTGGAATCACTAGGTTCTTGTGGGTTTTTTCGGGCTATAGAGCCATGTTCTAGAGGCATTTCTCCTGACGTTTCGCCTGCATCTATGGCAAGCATCCTCAGAGGTTGAGGTCTGTTGGAATAGGACAATGGGTTAATATATCTGTGGAATGGCTGGGGTGGGGCAAGGAGCTCTTCCCTGCTGCAGTTAGGTGTGAATGTTTAGCTGATCACCTTCATTAGCATTTGAAGGCCTGCCTGAGCCTGGGAAAATCTGTTGCTGGGAGGTGTTAATCTGTGCCTGGTTTTTTCCTCTCTGTTGTTTAGCTGTTATAATTTTTAGATTTTTTAATACTGGTAGCCAGATTTTGTTCATTTTCATGGTTTCTTCCTTTCTGTTGAAATTGTCCACATGCTTGTGGATTTCAATGGCTTCTCTGTGTAGTCTGACATGGTGGTTGTGAGAGTGGTCCAGCATTTCTGTGTTCTCAAATAATATGCTGTGTCCAGGATGGTTCATCAGGTGCTCTGCTATGGCTGACTTCTCTGGTTGAAGTAGTCTGCAGTGCCTTTCATGTTCCTTGATTCGTGTTTGGGCGCTGCGTTTGGTGGTCCCTATGTAGACTTGTCCACAGCTGCATGGTACGGTAGACTCCTGCAGAGGTGAGAGGATCCCTCTTGTCCTTTGCTGAACATAGCATTTGTTGGATTTTCTTGGTGGGTTTGTAGATTGTTTGTATGTTGTGTTTCCTCATCAGCTTCCCTATGCGGTCAGTGGTTCCCTTGATGTATGGCAGGAACACTTTTCCTCTGGGTGGATCTTCATCTTTACTCTCGTGGCTTGTTCTTGGTCTTGCAGCTCTTCTGATGTCTGAGGTGGAGTATCCATTGGCCTGGAGAGCCCAGGTGAGGTGGTTCAGTTCATCTTGGAGGAGGTGGGGTTCGCAGATTCTTTTTGCACGGTCTGCCAAGGCTTTAATGGTGCTTCTTTTTTGACTTGGGTGATGGTTGGAGTTTTTATGTAGATATCTATCTGTGTGTGTGGGTTTTCTGTAGACGGTGTGACCCAATTGTTGATCTGGTTTGCGGATGACTAGGACATCTAGAAAAGGCAGTCTTCCTTCATTTTCTTTTTCCATGGTGAAATGGATGTTTGGGTGGATGCTGTTAAGATGGTCCAGGAACCTGTTGAGTTCTTCTTCTCCATGGCTCCAAATAGTGAAGGTGTCATCCACATATCTGAACCATATAGTGGGTTTTTTGGTTGCTGTTTCAAGGGCTTGTTTTTCAAAGTGTTCCATGTAGAAATTAGCTATGACCGGGCTGAGAGGGCTCCCCATAGCTACTCCATCTTTCTGTTCGTAGAATTCATTGTCCCACTGAAAGTAACTAGAACATGGCTCTATAGCCCGAAAAAACCCACAAGAACCTAAAGTTAATATTAGTAGTAGTAATATTAGTATACATTGAACCACGAGAAAGCAAAAATGTAACTTGTTTAGGTCTCCTTATGGAAAATTTGGGACTATTTTGCAATTCTTCTTCGGACTCTGGCAATGCACTTTAGCGCTGTTAGACTGTTGATATCATCATCACATTATTTTATATAACGTCACTTATCATTTTATACTTTCAATTGCACTTTAATGATTTAGATCCTTTTGATGTAAATGTGCATAATGAGGTTTGTGTGTCTCTATCTAGCCTTTGGTTGTCATTTAAGGGTTGCTGTGAATTTTCCCGGCTGTATGGCCATGTTCCAGAAGCATTCTCTCCCGATGTTTCGCCCACATCTATGGCAGGCATCCTCAGAGGTGTGAGGTCTCTTGTAAACAAGGCAAGTGGGGTTTATATATCTGTGGAATATCCAGGGTGGGAGAAATAGATACAGAAACCTCACTTGCCTAGTTTCCAACAGACCTCGCAATCTCTGAGGATGCCTGCCATAGATGTGGGTGAAACATCAGGAGAGAATGCTCCTGGAAAACGGCCATACAGACTGGAAAACTCACAACAACCCAGTGATTCCAGCCATGAAAGCATTGGACAACAAGTTGTCCTTTAAGTTTATATATTAAGTTTATACTGATGCTATTTATTGGTTGTTTTGATTTGTTTTGTTGATCACTTTCGGCATGGAATGTTTGCTGGTTTTCTTCTGGAAACTGCCTTGAGTCCCCATTGGGAAGATAGGGTGGGTTATAAATAGATTATTGTTATTGCTACTGCTACTGCTGTTCTTCTTCTTCTTCTTCTTCTTCTTCTTATTATTATTATTATTATTATTATTATTATTACTATTATTATTATTATTCCGGAGAAGGGACACTGCTTGGGTGTAATGTAATACAGGCATGGACAAAGTCCAGTCCTCCAGGTGTTTTGGACTAGAACTCCCACAATTCCTAACAGCCTGCTGGCTGGGTTGCTATGAGTTTTCCAGTCTGTATGGCCATGTTCCAGAAGCATTCTCTCCTGATGTTTTGCTCACATCTATAGTAGCCAATCTCAGAAGTTGAGGGGTCTAGACAAGTGGGGTTTATATACCTGTGGAATGTCCAGGGCAGAAGAAAGAACTCTTGTCTGCTTGAGGCAAGTGTGAATGTTGCAATTGGCCACCTTGATTAGCATTTAGTAGCTTTGCCTGGCTGATTGCTGCCTGGAGGAATTCTTTGTTTGGTGATGTTAGCTGGTCCTGATTGATTCTTGTCTGGAATCCCCTGGTTTTTTTTAGTGTTCTTTATTTACTGTTCTGATTTTAGAGTTTCTTAATACAGTAGAGTTTCGCTTATCCAACCTTCACTCATCCAAGGTTCCGTATTATTCAACGCAGTTTGCCTTCCGCCTGGATCCACAGCTGTTTCAATACATTACGATGTTTTGGTGCTAAATTCATAAATACAGTGATGTTTACATAACATTACCGTGTACTGAACTGCTTTTTCTGCCAATTTGTTGTTTGGTGATGTTTTGGTGCTTAATTTGTAAAACCATAACGTAATTTGATGTTTAATAGGCTTTCCCTTAATCCCTCATTATTCAACATTTTCGCTTATCCAATATTCTGCTGGCCTGCTTATGTTGAATAAGCAAGACTCTACTGTACTGGTTGCCAGATTCTGTCCATTTTCATGGTTTCCTTCTTTCTGTTGAAATTGTCCACATGCACACACACACACTAGCCATCCCCTGCCAGGCACTGCTGTGGCCCAGTTTGGTGATCTGGAAAATAAAGTAACGAGAAAGTGTTGGTTTCTAATATGTGTAATTTCTTTATGCTTGTGGGTAAACAGTATTTATTCTTGTTTCTTTGTCAGTGTTGATGTAGAGATTGTCTGGTTTGCCTACTCTGGAACATGCAACATATAATTGTCCTTCTTTAGGGGTCCCTGTCAAATCTATGATACTATATCTGTCATATACAAATATGTGTGTGTGTGAATCGTATCTATCTATCTGTATCTATGGCTGGATGGCTCTTTGTCAAGAGGGCTTTATGTTTTCTTGCCCTGGTGAAGGGAGTTGGACTGGATGGCCTTAAGGCAGCATTTCTCAACCTGGGAGGTGGGACCCTTGCAGAGGTCATAAAGGGGTGCCAGAGAGGTTACCAAAACCATCAGAAAACACAGTATTTTCTGTTGGTCATGGGGATTCTGTGTGGAGAGATTGGTTCAATTCTGTCGCTGTTGGGGTTCAGAATGCTCTTTGATTGTAGGTGAACTATAAATCCCAGCAGCTACGACTCTCAAATGTCAAGGTCTATTTTCTCCAAACTCCATCTGTGTTCATATTTGGGCATATGGAGTATTCGTGCCAAGTTTGGTCCAGATCCATCATTGTTTGAGTCCACAGTGCTCTCTGGATGTAGGTAAACTATAACACCCAAACTCAAGGTCAATGCCCACCAAACCAGCAACTACAACTCTCAAATGAGAAAATCATTTTTTTTGTCAATTCGTCCAGTGGTGTTTGAGTTTTGTTAATCCCACAAACGAACATTACATTGTTGTTTATATAGATGAGAAAGGGGTTCGTTTCCCGCCTCCCACTCCATCCAACCGAGGGAAAGGCTGCAAAGGAAGCCTTGGAAGAAGCCCCAACTCCGCGCCGACACGGAAGGCAGCGTTGGGCGGAAGCGCCTTGGTGTGGCGGGGAGCCGGAGAGGGCGCTTCCTTCCTTCTTTCCGGCCGCTTGAACTTGGCGTGGGTCTCCCTCCCGTTCAGCCCTTCGCGGAAAGCGCGCGACGTGGGAGGGTCGGGCGGAAGAAGCGGGAGGGCATTTGGAAAGGGACGGCGACAACACGCCCTCCTCTCCCGAGAAGGAGGGGAGGGGAGAGGGTGGAGTCCTGGGGGGGGGGGGCTTTCTTCTTCTTCTCCTTCTTCCCTCCCTCCCTCCCTCTCCCTCTCTTTCTCTCTCTTTCTCTCCTCCTCCCCGTCCCTTCCCTCCAGCCAGTCGGCAGCGTCTGCGCCTTTGAACTCCTGCGCGCTATAAATAGCCCCGAGGGCGGGCGGGCGGGCGTGCGGGCGAGGCGGCTTTCCCGCTCTTTGCCGGCCATGGCGTGCCTGGACCGCTGCCGCTGCTGCACGGACCACCGGCGCCAGGGCAGCATCCTCTACAACATCCTCAAGAGCCAGGAGCACCGCCACCACCAGAAGGAAGAGGGGGAGGCGGCGGCCCAAGGCGGGGAGGCGCTGGCGGGCCCCCCTCCGCTGCCGGCCCCTCCGCTGCCGCTCCCCGCGAGGCCAGGGGCCGGGGCGGCGGGCTGCTCGTGCGGGGCCGGGCGGCGCGTGGCCCTGCGGAGCCCCCAGGCGGCCTGCAAGGCGGCCTCGGCGGTGCTGGTGAAGACGCTGCGCTTCGTCAAGAGCGTGCCCTGCTTCCAGGAGCTGCCGCTCGACGAGCAACTGGTCCTGGTGCGCAGCTGCTGGGCGCCGCTCCTCGCCCTCGGCCTGGCCCAGGACCGCGTCCACTTCGAGACCGTGGAGAGCGCCCGGCCCAGCATGCTCCAGCGCATCCTCACCACCCAGCCGCGCCCCCACCAACACCCCGGACAGCCCCAGGAGAAGCCCGGCCAAGCCCAGCCCCGCCACCACCGCCACGAGGACGACGGCGACGAGGAGGAGGAGGAGGAGGAAGAAGAGCGGCTCCCGCCCCAGGCCCCAGAGCCCCGCTGCCCCCAGCTGCCCTCGGCGGGGGAGATCCAAGCCATCCAAGGCTTCCTGGCCAAGTGCTGGAGTCTGGACATCAGCACCAAGGAGTACGCCTACCTCAAGGGCACCGTGCTCTTCAACCCGGGTCAGTGGGGCAGCCCTGGGGGCACGCTTTTGGGGAAGGGTCCAGGGTTCTCTCCCCCCCACCTCTCCCTTAATAATTCATATAAACATATATCTAAGCATTAAAAAGATAAAATTTAATGCCATACATTCATAAAGTAAAATTAAAATAAATAAAATATATATAATATAACATTATTTATTTAATCTAAGATCAATAATAGTGTATAAAAGCAATTGATATTTCTAAAAATTAACAACTTCATCTCTCTCCTTATACAATATTATAATATGTTAACTTCTAACTACTGTGTACAAATATCTCATACTAAATCGCATATTTCTTAATATAAAAAATCTAAAATTCTTTATCACTATTGAAATTACTTATCCATTATTTAATATAGACTTTTTTTTTGGCATTACATCCAATCGATAATTTGTAAATCATTGTACCAAAGTATACACCGGATTATAAATTCTATTCAAAATATGATTACATTTGTCGTCATTTCTCCCCGCACTCGTTTATAACAATATAATTCGATCTTCCCCCTTTTCGCCTTCATCATACAATTTCTGATCATATTTCCTGAGAAGCCTGTCTCAAGACCTCCATCAAATTTTGCAAAATAATAACTCCCTCTCCCCTTTTCTCCCTCTCTTCCCTCCCTTGCTCCTTTTCCCTCTCCAGTTTTCTGCTCTTCTCCCTCTCCTTCTCATCTTTCCCTCTACTCCTTTTCTCCCTCTCTCCCCTCCATTGCTCTTTCTCCCTCTCCCCGTCTTCCTCTCTTCTCTCTTATCCCTCTCCCCTTCCTCTCATATTTCCTTCTATTTCTCTATTGGGTTACTGTGAGTTTTCCTTTGGGCTGTATGGACATGTTCCAGAGGCATTCTCTCCTGACGTTTCACCCACACCTATGGCAGGCACACTCAGAGGTTGTGAGGTCTGTTGGAAACTAGGCAAGTGGGGTTTATATATCTGTGGAATGTCCAGGGTGAGAGAAAGAACTCTTGTCTGCTTGAGGCAAGTGTGAATGTTGCAATTGGCCAACATGATAAGCATTGAATAGCCTTGCAGCTTCAAAGGAAAGAAGAAACCATGAAAATGAACAAAATCTGGCTACCAGTATTAAAAATCTTTAAAATCAGAACAGTAAATAAAGAACCACACTCAAAAAATGGGAATTCCAGACAAGAAACAACCAGGGGCAGCTAATCACCTCCCAACAAATGATTCCCCAGGCCAAAATCAGCCAATCCTTGATGCTGCAAGGCTTTTCAATGCTAATCAAGGTGATTAATTGCAGCATTCACACCTGCTTCAAAAAGACACAAGTTCTCCCATCCTGGACATTATTCCACAGGTGTATGAACCCCACATGTCTTGTTCCCAACAAATCTCACAACCTCTGAGGATGCTTGCCATAGATGTGAGCGAAATATCAGGAGAGAATGCTTCTGGAACACGGCCATACTGCTCAGAAAACTCACAACAACCCAGTGATTCCAGCCATGAAAGCCTTGAACAACACATTTTCCCTCTACTCCTTTTCTCTGTCTCTCCCCTCCCTCTGTCTCTCCCCTCCCTCTGTCTCTCCCCTCCCTTTCTACTTCTTCCCCTCTCCCTCCCTTTCCTCCCCCCCCCCATCTGACCATTTTCCTTTGCTCCTTAGGCAGCTCCTGGGCAAGTCCTGCTATTCCTGCAGCTTGACCCTGCTTTATCTGCCATGGCTCAGTGCCACGGAATCAATGCTCGATGCTAATTGATTTACCTAAGGCAATACTGCTCGGTCAAGTGGAGAACAGTAGGAAGACTTTGTTACAGGTGGATTGATTCAATTAAAAGTCTCCCCTGGTTCTGAGTTTGCAAGACTGGAGTTGAGCTGGAGTCCTTGGAGGTTTCTTATCCAGTGTATCATGTGGTAGAATGAATGCAGTTTGACACTGCTTTAGCTACCATGGCTCGATGCAATGGGGTCCTGGGATTTGTAGTTTGCTGAGACAGCAGCATTCTTTGGAAGAGACGGTTTGTAAAACTACAACTCCCAGAATTCCATAGGATTGATTACGTGATTTTATCAAGTGTTTTTAAGGTTCGATATGTTCTTAATTATTGTTTTAATATATGCATTTATTTTATTATATGTGTATATTTTACATGGCATTAAATTGGTACCTATATATGTAAGACACGTTGAGTCCCTTACAGGGTTGAGAAAGGCAGAGTGTAAATAAGGTAAATAAATAAATGGAGCCATGACTGTTAAAGTGGTGTCAAATTGCATTAATTCTACAATGTCCATGAGCCCTTGGTTACCTGCCTGTCAGTGGGGTGTTGGTTGAGGGTATCTTTCAGATTGTGGAATGTACTTGAATATACATGATGAGATGTCTTGGAGATGGGAGCCAAGTCTAAACAGGAATGTCATTTATGCTTCATGTACACACCTTATATATAACCCGAAGGTCATTCTGTAAACACCATTTGCATCATGGTTGTGCATGAGGCATAGTTTGAATGATCAGAAGGAAAAGTTGTCACTATCTCAACCACCCAGGTGGACAGTTTTGGATTTTGGGGGTATTTTGGTATTCTGAATAAGGGATGTTATCTATAGTGGGGGGAGCTTTGTTGGGAAGTAATTGTCCTGACAAGTGGAATAGCACGAACAATTCTGCCTCTGAGGAAAAGAAGCCAATTTTCTAATTTCAAAACCATCTTCACCCTGGTTTATAGAGAGCAGAAACAAGAGTTCATCAGAAATCATTCAAGGAAATCCTTCTTTTTGCTTAATTGTTAATGGAGTCCAAGGAAGCACTCTGGCATTGTAAGATTTGGTACCCTTACAGCATGCAGGAGTCAACCTGCAGACTTGGAAAAAGGATAGAGAAATGTATTGTCGAAGGCTTTTATGGCCAGAATCACTGAGTTGTTGTGAGTTTTCTGGGCTGTATGGCCATGTTCCAGAAGCGTTCTCTCCTGACATTTCACCCACATCTATGGCAGACATCCTCAGAGGTTGTGAGGTCTCTGAGGAAGCCTGCCATAGATGCAGGTGAAACGTCAGGAGGGAATGCTTCTGGAACATGGCTATAGAGTCTGGAAAACTCACAACAACCCAATAGAGAAATGGTTAAAACTTTCTCTTTTGTCCAGGAAAATGAGTAACTGCATAAATTCGATGGCATATTGCGAGAGAATAAAATAGCTTTTGTGAAATTAGAATGTTAGAATAATGCACACCCAGGGCTTTCTTTGTGAAGTTCAGATTTGTCTTGCTTTGGCTGAAGACCAGCTAGGTTTTACATTAAGAAAAATGGTGTCAAAGTAAGGTCACCGTACAAGTCACATTCAGATTTATGGTGTATTGTTCCCGAGGTAAGGCAGACTGAGATGCAAAACAAAATCATTTGAACATACTTCCAGGTTTTCATCTGAAATGACAAGGTTATCAAATATATCAAAGCTTTTTTAAATGTTTGTTTGTTCCTCTTTAGAAGTTTATTTGATGAATAGAGTTTATTTGATGACAAAACTATTTATAACACTGATCATATATTGGGTGTGGTGCCTAAGGCTACTATATTTCAGTCTGTTTTCAGTAAGATTCACATTAGTGATAGTGTTATGGCACTGAATATGAGTAGACCCCGCTCCCCTCAAATGTGTCTGATTTTGGCACATTATTAAAACATTCAGTATTAGAATTTACAAACTGCATTCTAAAATATTTATTTTTACCAGTAAAGTTAAATCAGAAGAACCTGTAGAAAGCTGTCTAAGGAATCATAATGTGTCACACAGCATTTGAGGATCTCAGATATGGTACTGAAATTTTGAATCAGATGTTGTAAAAATTTGGGAAAAAAACAATTCTAGTAATTATTCCTCAATATTATAGTATTGTTTTTGTGGAAAATGTGAGAGCTCTATGTTAATTTGAAATTCTTTTGGATTGTACTGTTGGGGGATATTAGAAATCTAGCTGCCCACGATGCACATTTTTATTTTAATCACTGACTACAAACAAATTATTATCAAAAACTGAATTGTAGTGTATTATCTATGGTGTTTATGAGTTTTGCTAAAATAATGTTAATTGGTGTACGTGTTGTAATGGTTATTAGAGTGTCAAAATCTTCGGTCCTCTAGACAGTTTGGACTTTAACTCCCAGAATCCCTGAAGTACTTCTGAGGCTGGATCTACATTACCATATACTGCAGCTTGAACGTCATTACATGGGTCTTCACTGACCATATAATGCAGTTCAAATTGCATTATATGATAGTGTGTATCCAGTCTGAGAGCCCCAAACACTTGGATAACCAAATTTTGAGAACTGCACGCATCACATTCACAATAATGGGATTTCAATCCCTTAAATCAATGTTTTGAGAGGTACTAGAAGTTTAGAAAAGCCTGTTTCACTCTTACTTATTGTTCATGATTTCCCAGAATGTGGAAATAACGTGGGAAGTGTATTTCAGCTGCTCATCTGAGTGATAAAACAGTGTTACAAAGATAGAACTTGGTTTTGATGATGTTCTTTTCTCCCACACTCTTCTAGATCTACCAGGGCTGCACTGTGTACAGTACATCCAGGGACTGCAGCAAGAAGCACAGCAAGCTCTAAATGAACATGTCAGACTGATTCACAGAGGAGATCAGGCCAGATTTGCTAAACTCAATGTAGCTTTGTCCATGCTCAGATCCATCAATGCCAATGTTATTGCAGAACTGTTCTTTAGACCTATCATTGGAACCGTAAATATGGATGACATGCTGTTGGAGATGCTTTGTGCGAAATTATGAAGTTCAGTGTCAATATATATATATATATATATATATATATATATATATACACACATATTATAACAGACCAATCCAACAATGAAACATCGTACAACAAAATAGTGTAAAGTATTGTAAAATAAACTAACTTATTGTTTTTACGTAACTAGTATTTTTGTATTCAATAATAAACTATTCTTTGAGTGCATCTTAATTTTTTTAAAATAGAAACACTTAAGTTGTATGGTTTGCAACACTCGTGTATTTTAAATGAGAGAAAAGAGTGAAAATATGTTCATCTTATTGTGTTCAGAACTTGCTTTTTGAGTAAAAGTCCATAGGATGTCAGTATTCCTTTAGTGTCCAAAGTATAAGAGACTTTCAATAATGTGGTTTTTTTATAATTACCTAAGTTGATCTCCATATTGTATGTTCAGATATAAGTCCTTACATTATCTGTTCTTATATGCTCATCCAAGGCATTCTTAAAATATATTGTTGGCATTTATTGATAAAGCATTTTAGTATTGCAATTTGTTACCCATAAGATTTAGCATAATATATTTAAATTGAAAACAAATCCTGTAAAGCATAGTACAAATTGTTAGTAAATACAAGCAATTAATTTCTTTTACTTTTGATAGTTGTTCAGTGAGGGTACATTTTTGTCTCAAGTTGTTGACAAAAAATCCATAAATTCAATGGCACTAATCTAGACATTGCAGACGGATTAAAATTTGGCTTTACATGTACCAGGTTGCCTGCCTAAATGTTCGATCTAATTTTAGTTTTCTGTTAGTCAACTATCTTCTTATTATTGAATTTATATACAACAGAGTGGTTACCTTATGCTTACTTCATTACTTTTTACCAGAAACAATGAAAATAACAAATGGGTAATGCATAAAAAAAACCCAGATTTTGAAATCCAGTCTTGAACTGGCAGTATTTTTTCCACTCCCCAAGCTATATTTGAAGTGCACAACAGAGCAAAACAACCATAAACTATATAATGTTTACCAAGAAATCAAGGGATTAGAGAGCTAAGAATGCTCTAATACTGTTATAGTGGTGCAGCCTGTTTTGTTCTTGTGAAGGACAAAGGCCATTCTTAAGAATTGAGCAGTTGAGAATCAGCTTTATTCACAGTCATCTAAAGAACACAAAGGATATAAAAATGCAAAGCTTTAAAGGGAACATACTTTCCATTTTTACAAGCACATATGCGACATAGGACCTCATCACATTAAAGAAATTCCCCATCTTACCACACTTTACTGCTGCAGCCATCGTGGAGCCTGCCGGTTCTCATCACATGACGCACATCTATTTCCAGTGGGGCTCCATGCTGGCTGTGCCATTGAAATGTGGTAAGAGGGGGAAACCTGAACACAGGAGACTACCTGTGTTCAGGTTGAGAATCATGGGGACAATGTGGGAGTTTTGGAACCTTTGTTTACATTGGGTTTGGTCCCCATGTAAGCCGTCCCAAGTACCTTCGGGGGATATAAGAATAAAGTTATTATATTATAAAGCTATGCTTTCTGGTGTGTGATGGGCAAGTAGATGGTGCAACCACTGCAGGGTGCCAGACAACAGATTTGCCTTAGTGCCCCACAATTTGCCCCACTGTCCTACTGGTCCCCCCACTGTTCTACACATCAGGGGCCTCAATACAATGAGGTCCTAAGTGATGTTCTGTGTAACTGATTTCAATGAAGAATTTTTCAAGGTGTATAGGAAATGATAAACAGGTGAGTATATGCATTATGAAAATATTATATATAAATAAATATGTGATGAAACACATATTTATTTATATTTATTTATATTTATATTTCTGAAGACAAATTAGGACTGTACAAAGTTTGACTCAACCAACATTCATCACTATAGACACAGCATTGCAACTGCAAGTCTCATAAACCTGTTTTTTTGCCTGCTATAGATTGCAAAAGCAAACACATGAACCTGGTTTGGTAGCTGACAAGTTCTGCGGGCATTGTTTGGAAAATTGCAAGCACATATCAAATGCAATAATAATAATATTTATATTGATGTGCTAATTTGTAATGCTGTTTTACACAACTGAAATTCTAGGTACATCCAAAAATACAGATATAAAACATATAATTATAAAATAATTGGCTGTGCAATTGAACAATGGTTTGTATTGTGAAATAATTGGAATTTCACAATCAGTACACACTGGCAACATAAAAGTAGCTGCCCTATGAACAAATTAGGTACATTCATGTGATGCTGTACCCTATGTCTAAATGAGCAAATGAAAGGAACTACAATGTATTCGGTACATATAGAAACCAAGTTTTACTGAAAACCAAGCTTCATCTCAAACCATGTGGTACACTGGCATTCTTTCATGAAAACTGAAAAATAATTTGTATTTGAGTTCCTTTTACAGCATTGGGATATTTGTTCTAAAAATTAGCTGGAAAACACAAATCAGAAGTGCCTTGACTAGTATTACAAGTGTTTAGATAAATATCACTCTTGGGAGCAATCTACCAAACAGTGTTAATGCATATGAGCATCAGGGGTTTTTCCCTGGAGCCCTGCACAATTGCCACAAAAATAAAAGAGAATTGTCCAATAGTATTTTATGTTGTATTTTTGAGGCATCCTCCATAGCTGTGGCAAAATCCTCAATGGCATATTACATTGCTGTTAATTAGACACAATTCCCCAAGAGTCAGTAGAATCAGTAATATATCCCACAAGACTTGGTAATACATAGAAAATAATAACTAACATTTCTATTCATGGTGTCTTTTTATCATTGATGGAAGCTGCAAGTTCTGTAATGTGCAACTTTACACAATATGGTAAGTATCAATAACCACAAAATAATGTACAAAAATAAATGCCTTGTGCAGATACATTGTTTTTATACTTAGACACCCCACTAAATTCCAGTTTGCATACTATCAGGAAAAATGCTTATATGCCTACATTAAACCTTTAGACTATTCACAAACTCATCTGGGTGGAATTGAATTTGCACTTCAAGAAAGTTAAATTTTTTTGTTGAGTGCAGCTATCACTGGGTTAAGTCTGTCCCAAAAATTATGAGAAAAGATGGGGATAGCCATACTTAGCCCTTGAGATATGTTTACTAGGCCTGTTTGATCAAGAAAAAATTTGTTTCTAAAATCGATTTGTAATTGGGGTGTTTTTTTGTTTCGATATTTAAAATAATTACAAAACTTTCCAAAAAAAAGTTTCGGTATTTACGAAATTTCGTAAATATTAACAAAACATTTTGTAAAGATGGCGGACCCCCGCGCATGCGTAAAAAAACACTTCCGAAGCTTCGTTATTTCTGCCATACATGCAGGCAAAATGTCAGGAGAGAATGCTTCTAGGACAGCGGTCGGGAACCTATGGCTCTCCTCCAGGTGTGGTGGACTTCAACTCCCACAATGCCTTGAGGCTCGGCACTAGCGTGCGGGGCCGAAGCGGCGAGGAGGCGCGTTGCCCGCAGGGGTTTCCGCCCGCTCTCTCCCTCCGAGGCCAGCCTTTGCTGCCCGTCCTCCATGAAAAAGAGCCAAGGCTTCCACTTTGTAGCCAGTGGCTGCCATACATGCAGGCAAAACGTCAGGAGAGAATGCTTCTAGGACAGCAGTCGGGAACCTATGGCTCTCCTCCAGGTGTGGTGGACTTCAACTCCCACAATGCCTTGAGGCTCGGCACTAGCGTGCGGGGCCGAAGCGGCGAGGAGGCGCATTGCGAGGAGGCGCGTTGCCTGCAGGGGTTTCCGCCCGCTCTCTCCCTCCGAGGCCAGCCTTTGCTGCTCCGACGTTTTGCCTGCATGTATGGCAGCCACTGGCTACAAAGTGGAAGCCTTGGCTCTTTTTCATGGAGGACGGGCAGCAAAGGCTGGCCTCGGAGGGGGAGAGCGGGCGGAAACCCCTGCGGGCAACGCGCCTCCTCGCCGCTTCGGCCCCGCACGCTAGTGCCGAGCCTCAAGGCATTGTGGGAGTTGAAGTCCACCACACCTGGAGAGCCAAAGGTTCCCGACCGCTGATATAGGTTAACAATTATGCATATTTATTATATTTACAGTTAGTGGAGGTTGCTATTTCCAACATCCAGTGAGGGAAAGGAAAACCCTAAACTGGAGCAGAACAACAGGCTGGTTTTTTTGGCATCATCTTCAGAATGTCATTGCGCCCAACAGGCAGGAACAAGGCTTGGCTCCCTAAGGGCGAGCGCGCGCGGGCCGGCCAATCGGGAGCCGCGCTCGCGCCCAACAGGCAGGGGTGGGGCTTGGCTCACTGGGTGCGCGCTCGCGCCGCCCCTTCGCCCCGCCCGCCCCATTTACGAAACGGGCGAAAGCTCGTTAATACTGTGGGGGTTGCCGTTTCGATATTTAAAAACCCTTCCGGGTTTGAAGATATGTTTTGTTATCGTTTCGTATATGCAAAAATTAACGAATTAATAACGAATTAACGAATTAACGAACGAAACCGCACAGGCCTAATGTTTAGACTATGACTCAGTCTCTCATACTTCCCTATGTTGGTTGGGTCTAGTGGGAACCTGCCTCCAACAGCATCTAGTATTTTCTATTTGATGGTTGTAGTACTATAATTATAAGGTTAAATTATGTTCCTAACATCAAGGGCGCACAACTATAGAATAAAACAACAATGAAATATAAAATACCCTGTAAACTCAGCTCTTACAGTTTGTACAAATACTTACAGCTTTTAGCAAAAGCTCATTTAAAATCAATTCTACAACCAATGTTTGATTAATGGAATTTATGGGGCAGTTATGAAGTTGGTTGGGGCAGGAATGTGGGCACTGGAAGGCATCTTGCCATCCTTCCTTTTTGGTATCCCTGCATTTGGTCAGGACTATTCACATCTTTCCCTATTTGTGTATTGTTCAGTCCTCGCAACAGCCTATCCACAGCTCACTTGATACTTTGATAATACATACATAACTCGTAGATTTGTGTAGTACATTAAAACAAAGGCAATTATTTTGTGTGTAAGGATGGGAGTACTTCATCTACTGGCCATTCTTGGTATTACGTTTTATATTAAACGTTTCCCAAGAAACCTCATGCGTGAAGTGATTGTATCCCGCAGACTACTCAGAACAGCAGGCAATTATTATAGAAATATATTTG